AAAAAAAAAAAAAACCTGAACAACATAAATGGCATTTTAGTAGTGGAGAATTCTTGCTGAAAAACCCATAAGTAATCAACTTTTGTCAACAAGTACAAAAATAGACGTCCAATAAAACACAAAAAAGTACAAGAAAATATGTTATTTGGCCAGAAGTTATACATTCATCAAAAAATCGGTTTTTTTTTCCCTTGAAAGATGTTCACCCTATTTGAAGTTTTTCAAGACCACGACCTAGTGGCGGAATTTTACAAAATACCGAAGGCTTCTTCGTTGCGTATTCCAAAAGTAAAGAAAAAAGCCTAAGCTTCGGATCTTTCAAGTTCTTCTAAAATACCTATGTTATGCCTCTGTCAAAGGCAAAACTTCTTCATTTAGAGTGACTTCTATTCTTCCTATGCTCAAAAGTATGCCCTCTCGATATGTAATAATAATTCTTTCTTGCCTCAGGCACCAAAAAAGCGACTTAGTGACTAAAATGCTCTACTGTTCTCAAAATAAAGTTCCAGTTCCGTTTCTGCAACAAACTCTTCGCTTCACTTTTTCTTTAAAATTTAGTTAAGAAGTAACCTCTCTTGCCAATGGCAATATAAAGAATCAGCAACAACTAAAGCACAAACACCCCTCACTTCCGCTTACCATAGATAGATTGAAAGTCCAGCTTTTTAATAAACAGATTCATCCTTTATTTCGCGCATTTCTGAATCAACCAACCAGTTACACCAGCTAATTACTTACACACCCCTTTTCACTAATTCCCTCCAAAAAACGATGTGAAGCAAATTTTGTCAAAATAAAGTCACCGATAAGTGACAACAGATTCGAAACTGATAGGCAGAAAACCCAACAAACTACGAGGGTGAAACTGTTACTGGTAAAGTCCTGAAGCTGTACTCATTAAAAAAACTGAACCCAAGCCAATTTCAATAAAAAATTCTGCAAACTTCCTTCCCGAGTCGGTCGCTCAAAAACGGAAATACTAGAGAATAATACCCGTATAATCCAACTAACGAGAGTGTTACCCAAACCACCACTAGCTTCTATTCTCAGCTGGAATCAGCAAATTTTAGATGCTTAGCTTTCAAATGCGTCCCACTCAAAACTAGTAGGTTGACCGACATCAACGACACGAGCCGACGCTTTTTCATGTGACACTCCATTAAATCTTCAATCAAACCCTGCTCTTCAAAACTCTAGTGAAAAAAATAAAAAAATTTAGAAGGGAAAAAACAGAGAAAGATTACCTGAATAAGGTCAACTTTATCCACCCACTGCTCTGAAGATATTCCTTGATCTTGAGTTTTAAGCCACTCATCTAGGCGGTAAAACAATCTTCGTATAGAAGTAGTTCCCGGTACATACTAAAAAAGTACAAGTAATATAAAATACATAGCTTATCCCCTTTCAGCCAAATTATTCAGCTAATATACATTGGTACTTCGAGTAAAAAAAAATAAAGAACTAAAAATAAGAAAAAATCATTAACAAAACTACAAAAAAACAAAATAGAATGCTAAATTTACCTTTTTCAGCATATGAATCCAAAGTTTCAAAGCTTTCAACCTTTCACCTTCAATGTGCTGTTTCCTAGGTATTTCCTCTTTCAGCATGTGATGCATTGCAGACATGATATCAACAATTTGAACCTTCAAAAGTTTTGATATGAGTTAACGCCGCGCTATTAATGAAAGTAATTTAAATAAAACTAAACAGACTTCAAATTGAGACCACGTCACCGCCTCGGTCGGCTTCATTAATGAAGCACCAACGTTTTCCTTCTGAAACTTTTACGAACTAAATTTCCAATGAGAAGGGGGTATTAAAAAGAGGTAATTAGAAAAAATTGTCAAGCAGACGTTGATAAAATAAAAAGCGGCAGAATAGTCAGTACTGAAGCAAAAATTAAAACTTATTAACATTTAATATTTTAGACACTACATCATAAAAAAACAGTAAAGCACGATGTAAACAAAAAAGAGGCCCACCTGTGGTAAAGATCCAAGATTGGTAAATATTCTTTCGCTTACTTCATGATATATAGCGTTATCACTGAAATTTGAATCTTAACGTATCTATCATTAAAATCAAATAAAATTCAAAAACGTTAGTGAAACTATTAACTGATGAACCACTAAATTATAAATATCTCTGTTATGCCATTAACTGTCAAAAAAGAGGGAACAGATCAACGATATGAAATTTATAATATCAAAATAATTAAAAATACCCAGATATGAAGACTGGAGTTGGATCGTTTCGCTTGAACAAGTATACTTTAGGTAAGTTTGATGGAGATGTGCCAAGTCTTCGAGCTTCGACGTTATCTGCAGTAACCGAGACGACGCGAATTCGCCCGTCAGAAGCATGGTTGACCATCTCCTAAAAGCAAATCAGCTATTTTGTCTTCACCAAAAAAAAAAAAAAAACATAAAAAAACGTTAAGAAACAGTCGACGAAGAAGAAAAATACATATTAATCAAGGAATGCAAAATTCCATTTCAAGATTGAGTTCAATGGAAATGGCACAACAAAATAGCATTAAATCATATACATTGAATTCAAATGAAGAACTTACAGCCCATGCTAATTTGGCAGGATGAGAACCAACAACCATTTCTATATAATCAGGATTACGCACTTGTTGCCATAGCTGTGCCAGTGAAGCATCACTGCAAGTGAATTAGTTTAACTAACGCTGATGTCAAAAATTATTGCGTAAAATCACTGTCATGAGAAGCTCAAAAAGACTATTCAATAAACTGCTCGCTCCACTTTAGAGACAAAAATAATACTGTTTACCGTAACGTTCGAAACTATAAAAGTAAAATAATTTTGCTAAAGAAGTATTACGAAAATACTGCCATTACGAAAGCTTCAGAGAGGCCAGAAATTAAAGCCTACTCATTAGCAAAATCAAAATTTGGCCATTCTGATGGTTGCTGCTTTGACCAGTCTTCATGTACTAAATTAGCAACTTCAAGTGGCAATCTCACAATATCATGACTGTCGCCTTTGAAAAACTTCCCATCGTCTTTGTTCGTTGAGGAATATTTGAAATACTGTAAAAAAAAGGAACAAGTTTGAAGAGTAAAAATAATAAAATTTCCTACAAAAGGTAGAAAAATAACAAAATAAAGTATCACCTTTAACGTTGGGAAAGCTTCAATTCCGTGCTCCCGGCATAATTTTGAATTTATTTCTTCGGCACAGTTAACCGCTGTAACTTGCAGAATAGGACTCCATGTTTGCAGACGCCTAAAAAAAATAGTCACGTTGCTTTACTTGCATGTATAGCCAGTGACAGTTAATGCCAACTTCTAATAAACAGTAAGGTGCAGTATGCAAAAACTGTATTTCTTCAGAAAACTTACGCAGCAAAAAGCTTGTACAGTGGAGCATATGCAATACAAGCACCGCACCAACTAGAATAGAACTCTACGATAAAAGCCTTCTTCTGCAAAAGATAATAACACTTACGCATTTACAAAACAGCAAATATAAAATTATTTATGTTCTCATACATAGGCGGTAATAACATCAAAAAAAAGTTTAGGTTCCTCTCACTACAACACCAAGAAGCAGTCTTCTGCTTTAAACTACTAAACATGACCAGGGAGCGAACATGGCAAAAAAAAATCTAAGTTGGAAACAGTGTGCATCGTAGCATAAAAATTTGAAAAATAAGATAAAAAAGAAAGAAATGAGAAGCAAAAAAAAAAATTAAATCTCATTCATTTCCCACACAATACCAAATTTTGACGTAGAGAAAAGAAAGCAAACAAAGAATTCTTCCCTTGTTGCCAATGGTCCTCTGCAAACAGCTACTATTCACAGACAGAACCATATGATCAATAGACACCATAGTGGTCATTTTATGCAGAATTTTTGCAAAGATCAAGTGTAATGGTAGTGACTATGAATAAATGCATGCCAAAAACGAGCAATACTGAAAAGACAAATAAAAGAAAGAAACCACCGACCTGATTATATACATTAGCGTTGAAATTATTGACATCAAGCTCGAGTATATGGTCTTGATCCGTATATAATGATTTTTCTCCGCAATAAGCATAGTCTAACAAAACAGATAGTAACAGCAAAATGGAGAAATAACTGGTTTTTAGTTCCTTTGTTAAGCCCATTAATAACATAATGTTTTGTTGTCGTAAAATAAAAAATTTTCGATGACGATGATGAGTAATAAGTTATAACAAATAATAAATATATATAATAATATTTTATACACTACAAAGACATACACATATACGTGTACGTATATATTTATATATCCAAACTACCTGAAAATAATAGTTATAACAATCATATCATCGAGCAATACAATTAAAGTTACTGTTGCTGTCCGTGTTGAAAAAAAAAA